TATTTAAAACTAAAGTCCACTCAATTTCAATTTACAACTTCAACAAGCGAATGATTTTGGTGCGAAATTATATTATGTAATGTAATAATAATAATAATAATAATTATGTATAATAAGTGTGTATGCAATGAAACAAATGTAATGTGCGCGAAATAATAATGCAATTAATATTAAAAACTAAATTTTAAATACAATAGTCGTTTATACAACAAGTCAATTGGCGCCGGAAATACGCGTACATTAGATGCGCGCGGCTCTTTGAGCATAAAAAATAATTCTAAGCATACTTTAAGGCGCGCACATGCGCTTTTCACGCCTGCGCCGCACACACACGGCGCTTTTATGCACATCTATGTGTGTTTGTATGTATGCCTACATAGTTCTAAGTAATTAATGAACATTTGTTCCAGTCGAAATTCGTCAAAAATTTACGTTTTGTGTTTTTTTTTTTGTTGTTTTTGTATGCAAAGTAAATGTGTGTGTGTTAACAAAACCGAAAACATCAATGAAATGCGCGTAAATTAAGTAAATATTATATAATATGTATGTAATATGCAATTTAAATGTAGCTAAGTAATATGTAAATTGTAATAATAGTAAATGGTAATAATTAATAATAATTAATTTTACAATAAATTGTCTCATTTGAATACCAACGAATTATGCTACTAGAAAAATAAGTGTATTTGATTTTTGTTGTTGTTGTTGTTGTTGTCTGCTTGTTATTTCAAAAATTAGAAAGAAAATTCCGTTATGCTGCGCGCTGCTGCCGTTGTATGTTGCACACTACTCTCTACGCGCTCTCTCTCTCTCTTTCACAACTTCATGCAGCGTTGCATTTTCTTCATTTTAGTTTTGTTTTGCTTTCAAATTGTTGTTATTTTATTATTGTTGTATTTGACTTGTTTAATTGTTTTTGTTTTGTTGCCATTTATTTACTGTTGTCCTCTCTTTTCTATATTTATATGCTTGTGGTTGTGTTGTGTTTATTTTCATGTAGTTTTTGTTGTTTTTTAAGTTTAGAGAATTTGTATTAAATCTCAATTATATACATCCTGCTTCACTTCCACTTCATTCTCTTTCTCGATCATACCCTCGTTGGTGGCATTATTCCATGCACCGTTCATGCTCTTCGACGATGAGAAGCAGAGTTTCATGATGAAGGGAAATTTGGTACCTGGAATTGGAGAAGAAAGAAATTATAACATGTTGAGCACATATACATATATATGAGAGATTAAAAAGTGCTAATTTTAATTTTAATAATTTTGTAAATTTTTGTAATTAAAAAAATTATTTTAATTTAAATAAGTCTAATTTTTCTCAAAAAAAAAAAATGCCAAAATGCGTTTTGATTAATAATTTTTAAATTTCTTTCCTAATTTAAATTTGAAGTAAATTTCTTTCAATTTACTTTTAATTTTTTTTAATCCTGTTACTA